GAAGAACCCAACCTACTAACCAGAATACCACACAAAAAAGTGAAACCTGCAGAAGTGGGCACAACTTTATCTGTACAGTTGACTGATTCTGAAGGTGCTTGCTAACAGTTTCTGATTAAAAAGATTACCTTCCTGATAACAGCATGAAACAAAAATACGGCAATTAGGAAATCAAGTCTCAGGGCACCACTATTGCAGACTCTGCCTAGGTGAACCCAGTTGATTAAGGTTGAAGTACAAAACCTCTCAGTCCCCTCAAAGCTGGAGAGGGAACGTGAACAGTGGTAGCTGGAGAAGCACAGCATGTAATGCCTATAGCAGTGACAGCTTGGGTTTGTGGTAAAAGCATACAAATCACCAATGCATTACTTTTCTACTATATGATGTATATATCTCATTGATCTATTCGTTTTTTCAGACACTGTAAGATTTCTGTGTTAGCCTGATTCCTTTTGGTATCACTGCTGAAGTTGTGGGGAACAGCTGTCTATTACGGGTTTTTTTGTCCTTCTCCATGTGAGAACCACTGCATTTAGTTTGGACATGTAATTGAGTTAATTGATTTTCAGAAACCAGTATAAGTAACTCTAGATGGCTAGATAACCTGGATACTTTGATAACTGCAAATAAAGGGGAGTAGTTCTGGAAGATGCAGAACTAGAAACTGGAAATACTTAGTTGCAAAACTTATTAGCTGCATAGAGAGAAAGAACAAAGGCACTCGATTTTTCCTGCAAATGAACTCCAGGCAATGCGACAATAAAATGGATGTTTGCTATTAGAACAGATTGGTTCCTTTCTTTCCTTAGTATTTGCTAGAACAAAAGCGCTGTAACTTTCCAAGGCTGCAGTGAGTCAGTGCTACAATTAGCAGCATGATACTGATATAGTGGCCACCACTCTGCAATCTTTCCTTTCCCCCCACCCAGTCAAAAAGGCTACCTCTGACAAATCAGCTATTAACAGACAAGTTTCTGTCTTTTACATTATTAAATCATAGTGAAAAACCAAACTCTGTGCTGAGGAAGTATAAGTTCTGTCAAACAAATAGGCAGAGCTATTCATATTTCTTTTCCTCTTTAATTTTTTAAAATATAGCCAGAGTCCCAAGAAAAGAAACTCGGCGTCCTTCTGCTTTCTGAAGCTTTAATAGCCTCAGCTCTGCAAAATGCAGTTTTCTAACAACAGGATTTTGGTCTTGGTGCAGGTCAGTCCTGAACACAGAAAGTAATCATTGTAATACCAAAATGCAGGGCTGTTAAGAGAAGGGAGATTTGCAATAATAAGATTACAGAAAACCTCTATTACAGACTTTATATTTTCTGGGATATTCCTGAATGAATGCCATCTGCTTGGTGATCATAAGGAATGTAATCATATTGAATCTTTCCAGCTTTGAGTAAAGCTAGGTTGAGATTACCAAGAAGAGAGGTAGCAATTACCAAGAAAAGATTATATTTTGGTACAATCAGTGCATTTGCCCTTAAATACATCTGAGTCATCTGAGTACTCCTCACAGCCTGGAATTATGTGTTTTTACCTAAAGGGCCTGTTTATTTCCACCTGTAAAACTACATATTTATTCTTCTGTGTTCTATATCACTGGAGAGAAATTAGTAATTTCTTCTCTAGAAAGTAGTAATTCTCTAAAAATTAGTAATTTCTTCTCTAGAATTTCTTTGGACTGTTAGACCAGAGTGAAAGAGTACACAGCAGCATGATGTGTGAAAAGTGAACTTTTAACTGAAATGTGCAAGTCTGAATTAAAAAAAAAAAAAAAATACAGCTAAAGCCTACCCATGAGGGAAACCCCAGAAAATGCTTTTGGAAATAAATATATTTTTAACATGTAAATTGTAGTCCAGGAGTTTGTAGGGTTTTTAAGACAAAGAAATAATTACCCATGAAGACAGAGGGAACACGGGTGAACAGTGGAATCAGACACAACAGAAACTATTCCATGGGCAACAAAGCAGGTTTTGCTCTAAGTGAAAGGCACCAGGGAACTCGTTAATGATTTTGTGTTGAGGGCTCACACTGCACGGGCAGTGAACAGAGACACTTGTCCCTACAGGCTCCTCTCCCCTTTGTACCTTCTGACTCCTGTTCCCAGTGTTTCCATCCCCTCACTGGCCTTGCTGCCTCTAAATGTGAATTGCTGCAGATTATTTGAAGACACTGAATATCGGTGTAATGCTCTTCCAGGACTAAAGTCTTTAAACAATTGTGAGACTGGATAATGCATGTGCAAGTAAGACACTATTACAGCATTATCTGTAGCCATAGGGTAAGCAGTTGCTGTAGGAACACCCCAGAAGCAGAGTGAGAAGGGCTCTGGCCCAGCAGGGATCAGGCTGCTCCTCTGGCCCAACCTCTCATGGGCAGGTAAATGTGTATTTCAATGCCACAGCCCAGCTGTCCATATATTTCCATGCTTACCTTTTAGATTGCTCCTGTGATATTCTATTTTAAATCCTGCAAAAGCTGAAGTACACTGTGTGATGGTTTCTTTTAACAGGACATCATGCCAACCAAGCACTGGAGTGTCTTACATGCAGGGAATTATGTGTGAGCTTTAATGTTTAAAATAGTCAGACTCTGTGAGACTAAGTGTGCCTGCATTTTATTTTCCTCAGCTATCTTTGATGAGGATTAATGAATGAATGGTCATAAAGTGCTCTAAAATCCTACGAAAGCATACTAAAAGCACACACACTTAACTATTGTGAACAAAGGATGTTTAAAGCTTACCTGGAATTTCACTCTAGCTATAGATGTATGAATCATTGTCACAGAAAATGTAACCATTTTAATTAAGAAACAGAAAAACATTAGAGGAGTTCAAGCAAATACTTGATGACTGACAAGGAAAAGTATCTTTGTGGTAAATGAGCCGAGTAAAACTGTTTGCCCAGACTAACCCTCAGAATTTTTCTGCAAATATGGTTTATTTTCCAAGGTCCTTTACAGAAACAAACCCCTTCCACAACATCAGACAGCCATAAAAACGGTAAGTATAAATAATTGTATCTACATGACTGAGGTCTGCAACTGTATTTACAAATCTAATTCTTCGCAAGTCTTTTGCAGACATAAAACATTTTCAAGCAGGTCTGTGTGCTAAACCAGAGTAGCATTCATCCTTAACTTCTTTTTTCCTCTACATTAAAAACATCTCACTTTTCCAACTGTATTGGAACTGCCTGCACACTTGAACTTGTTCCAAACTTGCCTACCTTATAAATAGATGATTTTCAGACCTGCCCACTGCAAACACACACACACCTGTGTATTGTACATTTCCCACTCAGGGAGCTGCAAACACACCTTGCTCCCACACAGTTTGAGATGTGAGCATGTGTGTATATGTATCGTAAATGCTTGTTTGGGCAGAACAAAAGTTATGTAAACTAAAGTGTCTGGAAAATATTAAGGGCAAAAAAACTTTTCTCCACAAAAAGTGATGTATTTTATTACAACAAACATACCAGTGAAATGGTGCAAAATCTTCCTTTGACATTTAACTCCATGATCCAGATGTTTCCTAGTCTGCCAGCATTTAGGATTTATTTTCTAATAGTAAGTTAGAAAATAAAAATAAATTGTGAATCTATGAAATCTAGAAATTTGCCGTAATTTCTGTTCTTAAGAGAACTGTTGATACTTTTTTTGAGATGCCTTTAGCATTCCTTCCCCTTGATCTCACAAGGATCTACGGAAGCAAACCACACGGCAGCTAGAACCGCGATGGGAATACACTGCCAGGTGTTAATTAACAGCCTGGGAACAATTAGAAGATACCAATCGGTACAGAAACACAGCACTATCAACTTCGATGCCCGTGGGGCACTGACCAAGTTCACCAGAATCACAGAACGTTCTGCGCTGGAAGAGACCCACGGGGCTCATGGAGTCCAGCCCGTCCCGGAGGGGCGCACACGAGGATCGAACGCAGGAGCTGTGCCAGGTACGCCCCGGACACCGCCCGGCCCGGGCACACCGAGGCTGCGCCGCCCCGCCCGCCGGGCCCGGGGGAGCTGCCCGCTCTGCCCCTGCAGGACTCGGCCGCGAAACGCGGTTTGGGCTTCTGCCCCTCCCGAAGTACCGGCAGGCCCTCGCCCCCCGCCAGCCTCCGGGCCGGGCGCGGCGCCTCTCGGCCGGGCCCCGTCGGAGAGGGGCGGGCGGCTCGGGGGCACAGGCGGGCAGCGACACGGTGGGGCCGCCAGCGCCTTCTCCTTCAGCGCGGCGGCGGCAGCGCAGGGACACAGACCCTGCGGGCGGCCGGGGCCGGGCTCAGGCCGTGACTGGCTTCCTCAGGCCGAGCCGGGCTCGTCCGGCCGTGACGGAGCTCCCTCAGGCCGGGGCCGGGCTCAGGCCGGGCCGGGCTCCCTCAGGCCGGGCCGGGCTCAGGCCGGGGCCGGGCTCAGGCCGGGCCGGGCTCCCTCAGGCCGGGCCGGGCTCCCTCAGGCGGGGCCGGGCTCCCTCCGGCCGGGCTCCCTCAGGCCGGGCCCGGGCTCCCTCAGGGCCGGGCCGGGCTCCCTCAGGCCGGGCCGGGCTCCCTCAGGGCCGGGCCGGGCTCCCTCAGGCCGGGCCGGGCTCCCTCAGGCTGGGCTCCCTCCGGCCGGGCCGGGCTCCCTCAGGCCGAGCCGGGCTCAGGCCGGGCCGGGCTCCCTCGGGCCGGGCCGGGCTCCCTCAGGCGGGGCCGGGCTCCCTCAGGCCGGGCCGGGCTCGCTCAGGCCGGGCCGGGCTCCCTCAGGCCGGGCCGGGCTCGCTCAGGCCGGGGCCGGGCCGGGCTCAGGCCGGGCCGGGCTCCCTCAGGGCCGGCGCGGAGCCCGTGGCGCGCGCGCCCCTCCCACGCGAGCCCCTGGCGCGCGGCCCCGCCCCGCGCGGGCGCGGGTTGGCCGCGCGCGCTGCCGCCCGCGCGGCGGTTGCATCACCCGGGGCGGGGCCGCGCGCGGTGTCGCAATCGGCGCTCGCCGCGCGCACGGTACCGAGCGCGGCCCGCCCGGCCCCTCCCGCCGCTCGCGCCGCTCAGGTAAGCGCGGGGGGCGCGCGCCGGGGCCGGGGCCGCGGCCGCCCCCGCCCGCCGGGCCCGCTCGCAGCGCGTGATGCAATCGGCGGGCGGCCCCGGCGCCCTCCCCTCCCCTCCCCCGGTGAAGTCACGGCTTGGCAGCGCCGGGCACCCCCGCGCCCGCTCGGACGGGGGAGGAGCAGCGCGGCCTCGGCGGGCGGGCGGCCCGAGGAGGGCGGCGGCGGCGCCATGGGCCCGCCGGGGAGGGCCGGGCCGGTCCCGGTGCCCGCGGTCGCTCCCGGCCCGGGGCGGGGGGAGCGAGGCCGCGGCGGGGCGGCTCCGGGGCGCCGGGCGGCGGGGCGGAGCGCGCCCGGCCGGGGAGCCCGGGCAGGTGCGGCGGGGTCCGCGAATTCCCGGAGCCCCGGAGGCGAGTTTCACAGCGGGGCTTGGGCCGGCAGCGAGCGCCGCGGTGGCGCTGACATCCGGCAGGAAGAGTGGCGGCTCCGTAACGCTGCCGTGCAGAGCTCGTTCGCGAAGTACAAGCTTATGACTGGCAGAACTTTGGAATTTGAGGAGTTGGTTTGTCCTTAGAAATCACAGCTGCCGTTTCATATTCGAAAGACAGTCTTTTGATACCTCCTTGCCTCACAGTGTTTGGGGTTCTGTCATCTTAAAGTTCATGTTTATGTGTTCCGTTACAGTCTGTGAAGGACTTCAGAGTGTATTTGATTTTTAAGATGTGTATTAAAAATAGAGACTCTGAAATAAATGTGTAAAAGTGATGTTGTCAGCTATGGCAAGAAATGATGGGATTGAGCTACCTAGTGTTGAAAGCATTGTTGCCCAGCCTTGAGTGTGTGAGAGCATCAGCTCCTGCAGACCTGTGAGTGTGAGCCGTGCAGGAGTCGGCCCTCCCATTGTTCAGCAAATGTGTGCTTGGGGTTAGTACAGGGTCATTGGAATCTAGACTTGGATCCTATCAGGGTATTCCTAGTGAAGTCTAAAGGAAGAGAGGCCACCTATTGCTGTTCAGATTGGCATCGATTCTGCATTTGACAAGACAGCTTTGTGAATTTATGCAATATAGTTATTCTGACTAATGATTGGAATCGCCACAGTCACACCTCGAGAATGGAGCAGAAACACTTTGTATTTTTTGCTACCAAGTTAAAAAACAATACTGATTTGATTGACAAAACAGAAGCAAACATTTGGAAGTTAAATGTCTTTATTTCTGTATGTGTGAAAGCAAGTGAAGGCCTTCATTGCTTCATTGGTCCCTGAGGAGTAGTGTGAGACAGTAAGAAACATCTTTCTGCCTGAGAAGACACCTCTTGAGTTACCAGCTATTATGCTGTAGTGGGTGGCCAGCTGGTTTCCTGGGTGGCCAGTTGGTGGCCCAAGGAGAGAACCAGGCAGTTCTAACTGGCCACTGGAAACAGTACCATGTGTTGGGTGGAACCAGCCTAGGGCTGTCACTGCGCTGAAGCTCATGAGCAGCTTTATGGGAACAAGATGCTGAGAAGCTGGGCTGGCTCTCTGAGGAGTTGTCTCCTGCTGTGCTGGGGCTGGCACACAGCCACAGGACAGCAACCTGTGTGCAGAGCAGCCACAGGACAGCAACCTGTGTGCAGAGCAGCCACAGGACAGCAACCTGTGTGCAGAGGCGTGGGGTGGTGCACGGGCTGGGACTGGAGCCCTGTGTGCCTCCCCACCTTCAGGGCCTCTCCCAATGTCCTCACCCTTCTTGAGAGTCCCCTCTGTGTGTCTCACACCTGCTGCCTTTAAATCTCCTTGCAGTCTCTGCTGAAGGATGCCCGTAGCACCTGTTGCTACCTGGGGTAGCTTTCTGACAATTAGTGATGGGCATCCAGCCTCCAAATCACCAGGCAAAAAGGAGTTCCAAGCCTCAGTTGTTGGCGCTCTGTAGCTCCATGGTGCAGTACAGTTAGTGCTACTTTATTCTTTGGAGTGGGACAGGAATCCAGGTGTCACCTGTCCCACTTAAGGGGTCTGGTCATCAGGCCAGATAAGAGCCTGTCTCACTCAAGAAATAGCAATTTAATAAAAATCAAATCAATTCCAGTGGGAAGGAGCTGAGGGAGGTCTGTTCTAGCAAGGCAGGGCTGGAATTCTTGCTTGAGAGGTGTGACACTCATTATCTTCTCTGCTTATATCCATGTACTGCCCAACTAAAATACTCCATTAATATTAGGTTTAATGGGACAAATTGGTTTTTTTTCATTGAAATCTGATAGAGATAGGAAAGAAGTGTTAAAGCAGTATTAAATAGTTTTGATAGCATAGAGAGAAGTAGCACATGGAATCTGGTGATATGAAGAAACTTGTTACATGTCAGGTGGCATTCCTTTGAAGGCAGGACCCACTGTTTTCTCTGTAGTAGCTCATGGGGCACAAAAATCAGATTGTGAAAATGGTGTGGGTTACATAACTGGCCTGTGCAGGTGAACTTTGCAAGCACTGAAATGTGTTGAAGCAGAGGGGACAACAGAGCATTCTGTTTGATTTGGAAAAGGTGTCCAAAATATACTTGTCAGACACAACCTAAGGGAACTGTGTATGTTTTGAGGGCTGCAGAAATCCTCTATTTTAAAATACAGACAAGGCCAGTGCATACACTTACACCTTGACTAAAAATGTCTGTGCAATTACACATGCACAGCTACTACAACCGGCCCTGCCAGTCTGGTGTTGGGGCACAGGAACACCTTGTTAGCTGGGTATTCAGTTCAACTGCCCAACCTAACTGCTTGTTAGGTCAGGATCTGAGAATGAAACATGGTTTACAAAAGTTGCTTTATGAGTTAAAATTGGGAAAATATTAACACTAAGGTGTTAGACACTATGTATTTAGATTCAGCTCCACAGATGTCAAAAAGTGGTTGTTGATGGTCTCATTCTGCCCTGAAATGGGAAAATGAAAATATTTCTTTATAAGAAGGGTGTGGGTATACTCATATATCTTCACAAGTGGGAAGACCTCTTGGTGACAGAGAATATTAATTTTGAGTAACATTCAAGCCAAATTTAGTGGGCTTTTCCATGAATGTTATTGAACCACACTCTGCATCAGCTGCATCTCATTGTGGCTCCTTCAACATGAAAGAAAATATGCCATTGATCTACACAGTTGAATTTTAACATTTTAATGATAGCCCATCCAAAATTAAAACAACTCAGACTGCTGAGAAAAACAATCAGGAACAGTACACATGAACCTGTGAGTTTAGAAGGATCAATGACACACAGGAGCTCACTACAGACCTCTCACACATCCCTCCAGCCATCAGCCATCCATCTGCTGTTATGGATGCAAGAGGTGTTCCTGGGCTGGAAACTGCCCATCCTGGCAGGCAGCACTGCCCTGCACTGCTGCAGCTCTCAGGTGTTCCTGACACTGCCCATCCTGGCAGGCAGCACTGCCCTGCTGCTGCAGCTGCTTGCTTTTCTCAGCCCTCTGGAGGATGTGTCACACTGGTCCTGTGATACTGCATGTGTGTGACAGTGCTGGGCTGCACAGCTGCTGCACAGTCTGACATTGGAATAGGATTGATTAGTGCCAGTTAAATGCTTTTCTTCAACATGACAAATCCACACTGATTTGACTGATCACTGAGTATTTTTCATTGGAGCCATAGGTAGGTGTTTCAGGAGCTTAGGACCATCCTGTTGTCCTTCCCCTCTTCTCTCCCAGGCATATAGGAAGTCATCCTGTGAGATGAGAAGAGAAGGGGACCAGCTGTTAGCCTTGCCAGGGCCATGTCCTTGCAGCTGTGGTGGAATCCTCCTTGTGCCACCAGTAGGGCCAGGAGCAGGCTGACCTGAGCAGCGGCAGAACGTGAGTCAGGTGAGAGGATGTCTTGCTCATCAGGATTGGGTGTGCTGGAGAGGAGAGCAGACAATGACCAGTGCACCAACCATGCAGGTGACCTTCTTTGTGGATGAGTCAGCTGTGGTTGCTGTCTTTTGATGGGTGACAGTCCTCTGTTGGAGTGTAGTGATCTACACTGCAATCACCCTGTGCTCCTTTCCCACCTGCTTCATTCATACTGTTCAGGCTCAGCATGCTGCTTGTGGTAGAATGTCACCCAGAACCTTTGCAATGCGCTTTTTTCATAGATTTATTTTTCCACTCAGTACTAGTAGACCTTAGGACAGCCACCATTTTGAACATCATCTGCAAAACAAGTGCTGTAAAATGGTTGAGAAAAGGTGGACAGACTGAGCACCCTTGCTCCAGAGAAAAGAGATCAGGGAGGAATTTGTCTGCAGATACACCCAGAGATGTGGTCCGAAGAGGACAAGGATCAAATACCCCTGTTGGTCAAGAGTCAGGCTGTTAATAGGTTTAAGCCACAGAAGGAAAACTCCAGTCTGAAAACTTAAGAAAATTGTATAACTGGAGGAAAAGTTAGACAGTGGAACATGTTGCCAAGACAGAGGTTGTGAAACTGGAGATATTTGAGGCTAGGCTAGACACCCATCCATCAGGGATGGCTTTGGAATAACTGAGTGAAGCCAGTGAACAATTCAAACAGCTTGACTAGATGACCCAGTAATAGTCCCATCCAATCCAAATATGTTTGGGACTTCAGAAATGTAGTTGGCAGCTTGTCCACTTCCAGCACAGTTATGATGTATTACTGCCAGATGTGCCATCAGTACTTTATGCTAAAGCCAGTGATGTATAAGATTGTAGCTGAAACCAACATCTTTAATAGCTTCTTTTTTCCCCCTACTAGGTTCAACTTGCTCTTCATCCATGTGAAGATCTGTTGGAATCACCTTCTAGAAAGCCAAGAGTTTTCAGTCTCCTAATATATTCTGTTGTGTCCAAGAACAGCTTGCACAAATGAGCAAGACATCCCAACAGAACACCACCACAGATGCGAGCGGAGTAAGTGTGATTCACACTCAAGCACACTCCAGTGGCCTGCAGCAGGTTCCCCAGCTGGTGCCAGTTAGTCCTGGTGGTGGAGGCAAAGCTGTGCCTCCGAGCAAACAGGGAAAGAAGAGTTCCTTTGTGGATAGAAACAGTGATGAGTACCGTCAGCGCAGAGAGAGGAACAACATGGCAGTGAAAAAGAGCCGCTTAAAGAGCAAGCAGAAGGCACAGGACACACTGCAAAGGGTCAACCAGCTTAAAGAAGAAAATGAACGTTTAGAGGCAAAAATTAAACTCCTGACCAAGGAGCTGAGCGTACTGAAAGACTTGTTCCTTGAGCATGCCCACAATTTTGCAGATAATGTGCAACCTGTTGGCACTGAGACCACCACAACAAATCCAGAGAACAGTGGACAGTAGACACCTGCGACCTTATGAAAAAACTTTTGAGCTGCAGCTTGTCTGCAGTGCCCATGCAGTAACCCAGCAAAAACTGTACCTTTAGTCATTGTTTTGTGGAGATTTTCTTCTTGTAAATTTAACACCTGCAGTGCCCATGCAGTAACCCAGCAAAAACTGTACCTTTAGTCATTGTTTTGTGGAGATTTTCTTCTTGTAAATTTAACACTGAAGATTTGTAACAATTAAACCAGAAACTGGTTAGGGTGTTTTAAATATTTTTCTCCTCAAAGATTTATGCAGATCTGAACTCCTAGCCAACAAGGAATGTAATATTTAGGAGATAACGTTTTCACTGGAATATTTAGTTACCATTTTAGAGTCACATAATGGGAGGAATCCAGCAGGATGGCTCACTGTAATATCAGAAGCTTGTAATTGGATAGAACATCTTTAAATACCTGTTAACATATTTTAGCCCTCTGTTTTTCTCCATTACATATTACAAACTGCAAAGACTGTGGAGAATTTTTGCTTTGTACTTTAAATCTGTAGAATTGAAGTCCTTTGAAGCACCACATAGGTCCCTCCTGTCCAGTTACAGTTGATGGGGAGGTTGTAGTGATAATGAGCTGGGATGCTTACCAGTGTTCACCAGAAAAACAACAATGTGCTCCGACAACATATCCAGGCAGTTGGCCTCCAAATGGCACATGAAGCATCCTGTACAAGAGGCAAAGCAGCACACTGACAAAGCCTTTTATTTAAGCTTGTATTTCATACTGCTCACATAGTGACTGGGGCCTTATGAGAACAAGTTTGTTTTCAGAAAATTTCAAAATGCTACCAAAAAACTGTGCCCTGCAAAATTGCGTTCTTGCTGGGAGGGAGATGTATTGGAGAGAACAAAAAGTGCAGCTTGGCTTAGCAGTGGAAGGGGCAGGACAGCAGGTGTTCAGCTGGGATGTATGGATCACTACTGGCTGACGTTAATCTTATAGAAATTTACAGTGATTTTAAAAATAAATGGCCCTAGTTACTGATTAGATGAAATTTCTACAGCCATCATACATCTGTGTGAAGGAATATCTTTAGTCTTGTTTTATTTCCATAGAAGTTTTTCTGTAGCAACCATTTTATTGCTACTGCTTAGTCTTTGCCATGTTCCATAATACAGTGCTATGTGCTATACTGAGGATTTAAACAAAGTAAAGCAGGAACTTTGATGTAACTTTAATTTATTTTAATTTTTAAATATTTCATTGATGGTATGGTTATTTTACATTTAACCTGTGTGTCTGTCTTGTAGATTACTACACTGTATTAATTTCCCTCTTCCACTACCTTTGTCCATAGATTAATTTGGAGGATGCTTATTTGCTTTGTATCAACACTTAGGAAAAAAACTTGGATGTTATCTCTATGAAGATATTGTTAGAGAATGAAACCTTGAAAAGTTCTTTTTTGAATTTAAACTTTTAATACATGTGGAAAACTTTTATGGATTGTTTTGGATTATGTTAGACTTTTTAATATGTTTTTTTTCATTCTAACTGCATCGGAAGTTGGTAGGGTTGAAATACCAGAAGCTAATAAAAATGTTTTGCTTGTAGTAGCCTCATTTTCCCCATCCCTTTTCTATTCCCCTCAAGTGCAGAATTGCCCAAGTCACACAACTGTCTTGGAGACATCAGTGCAGTAGTCTGTGTTCCCCTCTTTCACTCAGGTTTCTGCTCCATGGAAGCAATCAGAAACTCACTACAGTTTTTTCTAAATGTCTGATTTAACAAAGAAGGCAAAAAAAAAATTTAAAACTGAAAATATATTGCATTTAGATGGGTGGGGTGGGCACAGGGGAAGAGAAGCAGAACACCAAAAATTGCAAAGACAAAGATGACCTGAAGGCATCTCCTTCGGTAACTGCAGGTCCCCTGGTGGAAAGGCCAGCGCTGATCTCTTCCCTGCTTATCTGACCCGTGCACTGGGACTGGGGCCCTCCTCCACCAGTCTGAACAGGGGCTGCAAATCCTGGCTTTGCTTGTGATTTTGGTGGAAATGATTTCTGAGATCTCCTGTGAGCGAGGGCGATCCTCTCCAGGTGACTTTTCCACCTGTTGCTCTTGACAGCTCTGATCACCTTTCCTTCATGTTTAAAACCACTGAGTTATGAAAGTAATTTGTTTGGAAAATGAAATTTCTGGTTTATCAGCCTCTGCACTGTTGTTTTTTTTTTTGTTATTTTTTTTACTGATGCTGTGGTTTAAGCCCAAATGAAAATAAACCCCACGCAGCCACTCCCAATCCCCTCAGGTGAGAGAGATGAAATGCAGATTAGGGGTTGAGATAACAATTTACTGTTACTGGAACAATTTACAATTTAACAGCAACCAGATGAGAAAATCAGTGCCAGCAACACCCCCAGTGCCAGCAGCTGTGGCAGAGGCCATGGCCCAAGGGGCTCAGGGCCAGGACCAGGAGTGACCCAAGGCGGCCGCAGCCTCTGCTTGGCACCTGGGACTTGTCCCCACTGCCGGGCCACAGGGGACAGCCCAGGGGACAGCCCTGGCACGGGGACAGCCACCCCAGCACAGGGACAGCCACCCCAGCACAGGGACAGCCACCCCAGCACAGGGACAGCGATCCCTGGCCTTGGGGACAGCCACCCCAGCACAGGGGACAGCCCCAGCACAGGGACAGCCACCCCAGCACAGGGACAGTGATCCCTGGCCTTGGGGACAGCCACTCCAGCACAGGGGACAGCGATCCCTGGCCATGGGGACAGCCACCCCAGCACAGGGACAGCCATCCCTGGCCTTGGGGACAGCCACCCCAGCACAGGGGACAGCGATCCCTGGCCTTGGGGACAGCCACCCCAGCACAGGGGACAGCGATCCCTGGCCTTGGGGACAGCGATCCCCGGCCTTGGGGACAGCCACCCCGGCATGGGGACAGTGATCCCTGGCCTTGGGGACAGCGAGACTGCCAAGCCAACCTGGCCTTGGGGACAGCGGGACAGCGATCCCTGGCCTTGGGGATACTGGGACAAGGATCCCTGGCCTTGGGGACACCAGGACAATGATCCTTGACCTTGGTGGCACCAGGACAAGGCTCCCTGCCCTGGGCTGGTACTGGAACAAGGATCCCTGTCCTTGACTGGCACTGGGACAATGATCCTTGTCCCCAGCTGGCAGCAGGACAAGGCCCGGGAGGAGCAGTGGCTCTGTGCAGCACCTCAGTGTCGTGACTGTAACAAATCCATGTTTTAGCGTGCTCCAGTGAGAGGCTGCAAGAAAGGCTCAGGCTTATTCCAAGCCCCCTCCTGCCAAAGCAGCTCCAAGGAGCAAGGCTCGTTTCTCCCAAAGGGAAGCAGCCCAGGCTGTGCAGCAGCAAAGTACCCCCATCACACCCCTCTGCTGCAGGGCACAGAAAATTTCAGTGTAGTCCTATAAAAGTTAAGATTTTCCTTTTGACACATTATTCTTAAGTCTGTGACAGAATCCAGTGCCTGTCAGTACACAAGGAGTTACAGCACCACACATTTCACCAGGAAAGGAGATTCCCATTTTCTCACTGTCCCCCTAGGGGAAGGGGTCTGCTCTAGCCCCAGCGAGCACTGGGAGGCTGCACTCCTTTAAGAACCCCTGCAGCTGCAGCAGGGTAATTGGCAGGTAAATTCAGAGTGCACCCAACCCCAGGGAGCTCAAGCAATTTGCTGGAGCAACTTCCATGCATCGTTTCAGAAGCGCTCAGACGTTTCTAAACACACAAATTTGCTGGGCATTAAGACACGTTCTGTTACTTCGGTGCCAATTCTATTCAGTCTGTGCCAAGGGGAAAAGGCATTTGAGAAAACATGATGGAATATAAAATACCATGATGTAGTCAAAAAGAAAATTTGCCATAACTTTTACTTTCACCCCATTAATACACTTAAAATTATTAAACACCACTTTTTAAAGTATTAAATATCACTGTGCCTGTGGCAAGCACATTTCTCTCCCTTTCAGGATTTTTCATAGAGGTGCACAGAGAGAAATGAAAGAGAAAACAATTTCTATTTCTGCTCCTTGTTTTTCCTATGTGGAATGTTTTTGGAGAATTGTTTACCTGGAGTGAGTGCTTGGTTGGATTCTGGTGAGGATTGTTTGAGCCTGGTGGCCAATCCAACCCACTTGGGGCTGGACTCTCAGAGGGGGTCACGAGTTGTGTTGGGGTTAGAGTCAGAGAAAGTAGTATGTAGTTTTAGTATCCTCCTTTTATATAGTATATTAATGTATTTTAGCATAGTTATAATAAAGAAATCATTCAGCCTTCTGAATGGAGTCAGACATCATCATTTATTCCCATTGAGTTTGCCTGCATTTACAATATTTGGCTTTTAAAAAAAGGTTTATTCTTCCTCCCCTCCCCAATTTAGGAAAAAAGGTCTAATTCACTATTCGCTTAAGTGGATAAAAATGATCATAATTACGGAACAGCTCTGGAAGGAAGGATGAAATTTATATTCACCAAGTTCATGGGGCTGATGATGAAGGAGAACGGAGAGGGTGGCCCATGGCAGACTGAGCGCACGGCCGTGCTGGGCAGGGAGCGGGCACGGGGCGGCGGCCGGGTCAGGAGCAGCAGAACCGGCTCCAGAGCAGAACCGGCTCCAGAGCAGAACCGGCTCCAGAGCAGCAGAACCGGCTCCAGAGCAGAACGGGCTCCAGAGCAGAACCGGCTCCGGAGCAGAACCGGCTCCAGAGCAGAACCGGCTCCAGAGCAGAACCGGCTCCGGAGCAGCAGAACCGGCTCCAGAGCAGAATGGGCTCCGCAGCAGAACCGGCTCCAGAGCAGAACGGGCTCCGCAGCAGAACCGGCTCCAGAGCAGAACCGGCTCCAGAGCAGAACCGGCTCCACAGCAGAACGGGCTCCAGAGCAGAACGGGCTCCAGAGCAGAACCGGCTCCACAGCAGAACCGGCTCCAGAGCAGAACCGGCTCCACAGCAGAACGGGCTCCGCAGCAGAACCGGCTCCGGAGCAGAACGGGCTCCGGAGCAGAACCGGCTCCACAGCAGAACCGGCTCCACAGCAGAAACGGCTCCAGAGCAGAACCGGCTCCACAGCAGAACGGGCTCCGCAGCAGAACCGGCTCCGCAGCAGAACGGGCTCCGGAGCAGAACCGGCTCCACAGCAGAACCGGCTCCACAGCAGAACCGGCTCCGCAGCAGAACCGGCTCCAGAGCAGAACCGGCTCCAGAGCAGAACCGGCTCCAGAGCAGCAGAACGGGCTCCAGAGCAGAACGGGCTCCGGAGCAGAACCGGCTCCAGAGCAGAACCGGCTCCAGAGCAGAACCGGCTCCAGAGCAGAACGGGCTCCAGAGCAGAACCGGCTCCGGAGCAGAACCCACTCTGCAGCAGAACGGGCTCCGCAGCAGAACCGGCTCCACTGCAGAACCGGCTCCAGAGCAGAACCGGCTCCAGAGCAGAACGGGCTCCAGAGCAGAACCGGCTCCGCAGCAGAACCGGCTCTGCTCCCGCAGGGCCTGCGCTGCCCCTCCTGCTCCTGCCTGCGCCCCGCACGGGCGGGGAAGGCCGCCCAGCCACACGGGGTGATGGCTCAGCTGGAACAGTTCCAAACTCTCCTTTGCAAAGGTGAGGAGTGTTCCTATCAAACAGTACCTGCTGCGGAACCCAAGCAGCGGCAGGTTTCAGCGTCCAAAGCAGTGAGCCACTCCCCGGGCGTGTTCACAGCCTGCCACGGGAAAACACTCAGCTGTGGAGGGAACGGGGCTGAGGCCATGGGCCCCCGTTTTCACTGAAAAAACCTCAGTTTTGGGGGCAGATAAGTTCCAAGCAATGCCAGAATAGTCTCTGTGTTCTCATATCTGCAAGGCTACCAAAGCAAAGCCTGATGTCCTGTGCAGGTACTGGGTTTCAGAGGTGGAAAAATCCAGTCAGCACAGCAGGAACATCAATGCAGCAGCACATACAAGCTTCTGATCTGAAACGTCCCTTCCTGGAAAAACTATTTCCCTTCACAGTCAAGAATTCATGCACTTGCCTTCTACAAAGCAATGTCAAGAAACCGCTAAAAAAAAAACGAAAATTGGCTTATTTATTAATTGAGTGACATTCATGAAGTCCTCTGGATTGTTTCACAATGTATCTTTGTTCTCCCACATGAAGTTTCCTACATAGCAGTGGATCACCAAGCTGTGGGGAATAAAGCACAGGCTCTTGTCACACAGACCAACCTGCTTAGCAAAAGGAGTTCCCCTAGAGCAGTGCATCTGATTTGTGAGGAAATGATTTCAGGCCTAAGTGCAGTGCTGGGGCAGGTGCCAAGGTGGTGGCAGTGGTTTCTGACAGCACCCAGCCCACGCTGTGCTGTGCCCCCCATGTGAGACAGGAGCTCACAGTCTGTCCCTCTGCCTGCAGCTCAGTGCCCTGGTGTGAGCAACAGAGCTGAGCTGCTCACACCAAGGTGCTGAGACATCAGTGGGAAATCCTCACCTGGCAGGCACTGAGACTCAGAAAGGCCCTGATGCTCTGCTGTGGCTTCAGCTCCCTCTAAAACACAGCAGAGGGACGTTCAGAAGTGGCTTTGCAATCAAACTTCAACAGGATCTGAAC